CTTCACATCTGACTGACATATGGGCTCTGAACTTTCTCTTCGCACAGCTTGAGGTCAAGAAGAGAGAGCATGTGGCGGTGGAATGTTCAATTCGTACATACACAGCCTAGGGATTTGGTTTAAATCAAATCATAATTACACCACCAGCCAGGAAAACTGGAAAACTAGGCATGCTTTTTTTTCTGCACATTTTTCTTACCTTGCATATGAACTTAAATATATGTTGGGCACAATAAGAGTAAGTATCAGTTTTGGTTTTGGAAATTGTAAATTCCCTTTTACAACAGTTATTTATGTTGTAAAAGTAACAGTGCAACTATATCAGTAAGTTAAATAATGGTTTAATGATTCATACTTGTTGAGTAAAGCATGTAACACTAGAATGGAAAAAACTTAGTTTCATTCTTTCAAGTTACTTTGTTGATAATTTTAGCATTCTGTGGAGTGTTCCTAGAGGTTTCCTACACTGGGTTTGAATGCTCATCACTTTTTTGCTGCCCTAAATGTTCTATTGCTGAGGGTCTCTCTCTCTCTCTCTCTCTTTCTGTCTCTCTCTCTCTCTCACACACACACACACCCTTCAAAGTAGCCCAGATACTCACATTGGGCAACTGATTAAATTAATTTGAGATGCTGACTATTACCATGAAATAAAGGTCAAGAAAAAGCTATCACCGTGGATGTCAGAGAAAAACATCAGCTTCTGATAATACTAGAAAGCTTCAAGTGGGCCTGGGACAATTCCTGCTGACAAATTCCTTGGCTTCACCAGGTGAGACACTGCTGCACAGACCACATGGAGTAAGAGCTCACTCTTCCTCCTGAAGTTTTGCTGAAGATACTAAGGGAACAGATTTATGGAGCCCCAGATCCATTTGGCAACACAGAATCACGCTGTTATGCTTTTCAGAGTAGAAGAAAAGGGTAAGCGATGAAGTTATCTACATAATGGTGAAGATGACAGAATAGTAACCCATGATCTGGGACCTTCACACACAGCCCCTATCAGAGCAGAGAAGGAAATTCACAGACAGCAAAGACCTCCACCAAGTCCATCCCAGGGAGAACCCCAGAAAGACTCACCTGAAAAGTCTACTGTACTACCCACACTCTAAAGAATGGCCCAATGGTCAATGCTGGGCACACCTACTCCATTTTGTATGAGTCATGTGATCAGGGATAGTTTTATGGTATAATTATAATATATAAATCTACCTTTTAAAATGAAAAAAAAACTACCTCCTTAAATGGAGCCCTATTTATAGGCTATGGATACAAACACTGTAGCCATCCTTCCACACGCACTTCTAATTGCTGCACAGAGTAGTCCAAGGTGGAAAGCTCTGGATACAAGAGATGCAGACACTTAGCTCTGTAAGGTCCACTGTGACTACCTACTATGGTATTTTACCTGTTGCAGTAGTGACACTCTCATATACAGCCTTGAAGCTGCAGCACCCAGGAGGTTAGGCATAGGGGCTTAGCCTCTAGAAAGCCATAGACTGAGTCCTAGAGTCCATGAAGGGGCTGAGGTGATTTTCTTCCACATAGCTCATGGTCACCTAGCCTCAAGCTCAAGCACAGTTCACAGTGGGAGAGACTGATAATGGTTCATATAAAACCAGCCCTGCAATTTTGAAAGCCAGAGAAACTGTTCACTGAGTGTGATGACATAATCCCATGTGCAATGCCTACATCTGTTTTAGCTTCTGCTGATATTCAAGTAGAAAAATACATTAACTCCCCGAGCTTGCACAGGATCAGGTAACTTTCTATGGAGCTAGAGTAGGAGAGGATAAAATTCCACACATAAGCATGGTTATTAAGCTAAATAACCAAGTGCATCCCTAGAAGTAAGTCGTTCTAGCTATCTTAAATGCTGAGGCAGAATCAAGACTTCTTAAAGCTAGTTAGAGCCTGAGAATGTGGGCCTAAGAGAGGCTTTTCAGTATATTCTAAGACACCCTAAGATATCCAGCAAGTGCATGATGTTGCTAGCTCAATCTGGGACAGCTGCACGCTTACACACACACACACACACACACACACACACACACACCCCCCTATGAATATGTATGTATTAGAGGGTTCTTGGGACAGTATAGTATAGTATCGTTAGTTATTGAGAGATATCTATACTAGGGTAATAGGGATGGAAAATCCCTGTTTTCTCACATTGAACTTTAAAGGAAAAGTTACATGGTATGCGACACTGGGCTATTTTATGTGTGTCTGTGTTCATGACCATACATGTGCACATGTGCAGGTGTGTAGGTATGTGCAGAGCCCAGAGGTTAATTTCAGACATCTTTCTCTATTGCTCCTTGTCTTCTATGTGAAGACAGGGTCTCTTTCTCACTGAGCCTGAAGTTTGCAGACTCAGCTATACTGGCTGGCCGGCCAGCTCTATCTCTTGCCTGTGTCTCCCTATCACTAGATTATGGGTGTCTGCCAATACACTCAGATTTTTCATGTGGGTGCTAGAGATTAGATTCAGGCCTTTTTGCTTGCATGATGTGTACTTTATTAACTGAGCCATCTCCCCAGCCCTTCTTTGACTATTTTGACTTAGAATTTTACACAAATGAATAATAACAATATCTAAGGTTATTAGATTTGTCTGAATTTAATGTTTAATTACTTCTAAATATTCAAATATTTTACAAATATAAAGTAAGGAGAAGTACTAAGGAGAAGTTGGGTAGAAACTTAGATATTTGAATTTTTATGGAAAGTCAATTTTTCCTCAATAAATTTTCTGCGAGTTCTTAATCATTATTAACTGAAAAAGGGATAATACATATATGTAATATGCACATATATTACATATATATCCCCTACTGATTCTCAAAAAAATAATTAACATGTAGCACATTTATCATATAAAACTGGCTTAAAATGAAATGCTCTCCAAATAAATATACTGTTTTTAATATCATTGATTTTCATTCTGAATTGGGTGAGAGAAAATGAAATTTCAGCTTTATAATTTACTAGGTCAAATTATTCTCTGGGTCAAACAGTTGAATCAGAAACGTACTATCGTCAATATTTTGTTCAGTTTTGGATTACTCTGAGAGAATCTGTAAAACGTTCTGCAATAAAAGAGTAGAATGGCTAAGGGGAGAAAGGCATTCCACCCAGATCTGAGAGAACTGTCAGATCTAATCCTCAGAACAGCAACGTCCGGGCGCTCCACCTTGTAGATTAGAACACTGAGATTTAGAGGAAATGAAGTGACCGGTGTAAGGTCAGACAGTAAGAATGAGAGCTGTTCTCTCTGCCAGGGCTTCCGTGAGCTCTCAGTAGTGCTACCCACCCACTTTCCTAAGGTCACCAACTCACACAAGTCATTTCGTCACCAACTGAGAGGATCCTCCAGCGACTACCTCATGTATTGACAGAGAGCTCCATGAATGAAGCAGTCCTACCGCCTTTGATGGCCTGCAAGAGTCATGAGTTCCCTTAGCATTAGGTAGGTCTTTCTTTTTTACGTTTTGTTCGTGAGTCTCAGGTACTATTTCAGGATGCGTCTCACAACCCTGCGTCCTCACGCTGCCTGTGAGGTGCCTTTGCTCCTTTGGCATATGGCAATCTCTTTTCTCTCCCCTCACCAGGCATTTCTTAGCTGTTACCTATGCACTTGATACTTTTGTATTTTCAATCTCTTAGCAGAGGGTGGTTCTTTCTAGCTGATTTGATTTTTAAATTGTTACTTCCAGTAACTCCACATTTTGGAGGTTTGTCTTCCTTTTGGCTCATTGCTTAAACTATCCCTGTTTAAAAAAGACACTTGATTTTTTTTCTCACTATGTGACCTGAAAAGTATTCAGAGATTGACAGTGTGACTCTAATCAGCACTATTCAAATAATGTTCTGGCTCAGTGACTGGATGTATGCTTAGCATGCGTTTGAGGTCCTCAGTTTAATCCTCAACATCAATCAATCAATCAACAAATATAGGACAGGTTTTAAATACCAAACTGATGGTCAATGTTACAAAAAGATTTCAAGAGACATTTCTAAATGTATCTTGCTGCCACATTGGGGATTCATGTAACTCTGGTAATACAGAATTAAGATCTTTAGACACAAGGAAAAAAAAAAAAAAGGACATGATATAATTAAGAAGAAAATTCCCCGAGACTAAAAGCTAGTAAGTTGTACTCAGGTAGAAGTGTATGCTGTCTTACTTAGTATGTATTCATTTATTTATTAATCAGATATTGTCATGCATATTCTGCACTGCACAGTCAATATGAAAGTTTCTACAAAAATAAGTTTTACTATCCCTTGTTTACACAAATTGAGCCTCCTTTCTGGAGGTTAAACCCTATTTGTTGGAAGCAGAGGGAGTTGGAGAACCTTCCATTAACATAAATAAAAGATATGGGCGAGGGCTATAAGGTGAGCATTCAACTAGAACTCGCACACACACTCACTCACTCACTCACTCTTAAGGCTGCTGAAATATCAAGTCTTCAATTCTCCATTAAAAACAAGCCCTGATTTTAAGCTTTCAAATTATTTAAAGATGTGAAAGTCTGTCTGCAGTTGAGCCCCGTTCAAAGCCAGAACAGAAATCATTTCTTCTTCTTCCAACTCAAAGTATGTTTAGGAGAAGGACGTCTGATAGAAGTGGCTGTGCCAGCCTAACCAACTCTAAATACAAAACGCTTCTAGCAACATTTGGATACATATAATTTGACAAAAAGTTTTGTAAACTTAAGCTTTGAAAAAATAGAAACTATAAGCTCCAGCTTAAAGCTTAATATGCAATTGAAAGAAAATAATATTTTGTAGAAAAAAATTGCCCTTCCAAAAAGAGACAAAAATGACTAACTTTTATTTCCCAAGAGAATTATGCTACTTTTATACAACAAAATTACAGCCCCCACAAATTGCTTTCAACAATTCCATCGCTTCTTCATTTGACCACTTGAAAATCAAGATTCTTTCAGATTATAAATATAACTTTTTATAACTCTGTTATTACGTACTGTGAATGGAGAAAGAGGGCCAATCTTGTGGCCGTAGCGTCGAATGGCTTCTCTGATGTGGCAGGGCTGGATGGCATCGCTGTGAGCCTCAGCACCACAGGCCGCAGTACTCTGGGACAGAAAAACACATAAATTGTTACTAAATCAAAAACACACAACAGAACTCCAGTGTATAAAATATGAAAATAAACCTTTATAAAATGGGCCATTTTTCCCTTAGGATGCACATCACTGCCGCCATATACAACATCTAAAAAGAAAGTTCCATTAACAAATCAAAGATGACTTTTCCATGACCCCGTCCAAGCAGACCCACCAAATGCAGTTTTTATGCCTTCAATATTTCACCCAAGCCTGCATGTCAGGTAGGAGTGCTCAGCCACTTGTGTGCCAGCGAAAAAATGTCACGGGCCTTGTTGAAAGACCCACAGGAAGCTCTTTTCAAAAAAAAAGTTTAAACATTTATTACTATAAATGTTTCTTGGGAGATTCTTGGGCTTATTTTTGAAATGAGTTGAGTCATGAATTTAAAATGAAAAAATGTAAAATGGTCATATATTTGTCATATTGGGGACTGTCATAGACAACCATTTAATTCGATTCTTAATATTTTAGGTGTCCTTGGTATAAAGTAAAATAAAACCATATTTTATCTCATGTATGAAAGGCATGTTTGAAATCACAAAAAGACAAGAATGATTTTGTGCAATGAGAGTGTGAATACAGACTCAGGAATCTATATGTATGTTTTATGAATGTATGTGTGTGATACAACTTCAAACAATTAAGATGCTCTTGAATTGTGAGTGCAGTAAAAGGCAGTGAACTGTCCTAGTCAGGTCTGCAAGTTCAGCCTTGGGCCCAGAGACCTTGGGTCCAGTTTGGAGTCCATCTGTTACCAGCTCTGTCAATATCTCTGGGCCTCAGATATCTTTTTTCCCCCATCTATAAATTAGGGTAATAATTCTAAATACTCCACAGGCTGGCTGTGAAAATAAATGAATTGAAATGTATAGGGCACTTAGAATTATAGCGACAGGCCATAATGTTACACTGGGGTCAGATTATCATTTAAGGTTCAAAAATGGGAACACCACATACTCAACATGATAAGCCAACAGAAAGCACAGTAGGCACCAGATGTCACCTCATTAACTGTACAGAATTAAGAGAAAGAACTATTCAGTCTACACACTATTGTAATTGTGTTCTAGAACCCATGCACAGTCACCCAGTTAGTGTCGTTTGCTTTCCAGAGCCTACGATTACTGCAATTTTTCTGATAATTCTCACAGGTCTGACATCATGATGACTCACAGGGAATATAATTCTGTATGTAGAACTTCTGTGGCTTACAGTTTGAAACAATCTCACCAAAATGAAAAAACACAGCCTCCCTGACTCAGCAATTTTACCTTGAAGAATTTTCCTAATGATACATTTCAAGAGTACAAACTAATACGTATAAACATACACATGAACAGCCAATTCACTGCTATTTGGATTGACAACAAAATGCTTACCAGTAAGACTAGGCAAATTCAGTATGATGCAGTCATTCAAAGAAACAGAAAAGATGGCACCCATTATGGGCCTTTCTGGAATGACTCTTATAGTGTGATTCCTAAGATATGTTATGTGAAAAAACAACAAAGTATTCAATCACTCAGCACTGTGTTACCGTTTATTGAAAAGAGACTGAGCTAGGAGGTGGTGGTACACTTCTTACACCTTTAATCCCAGCACTCAGGAGGAATTTTAGTTCCAGGCCAGACTGGTCTACAGAGTGAGTTCCAGGACAGCCAGGGATACACAGAGAAACCCTGTCTCCACAAACAAAACTCTGAAACAAGTGTTGTTTATCCATTTAAACATGGACGGTCTCTGTGAGGGTTCAGTGAATATCCTAAAGGGCTCTCACGCATGCTCAGTGGCAGGCAAGAAGACAAGAGTCAGAGAAAGACTTACTTTTCATTATATTCTTCCCTGGACTTTGAAAATACACTTTATCTACAAATGATCCAAACAATGAAAATTCCTACCAAACAGGAATATTTGCTAATTATCTAAGCTGAACCTAAAAGGAAGACTTGTAAGGATTCAGGCATTATGCTGGCCTGCCCCTCTCACCTGGCAGAATGCACTCAGGTCAGCCCAGGGTTCCATTATTACTAGTCTGCATGCAGGTGCAAAGGACCCCTTTAAAAGACAGACTCCGCCCACTTACACTCTTTATCCACTCTCTTTTCTGCTGTTCCCGTGGGGCAGACAGGACTTTTCCTTCTGTCCTCTCTCTGTGTCTCTTTACCTCTTTCTAGTAAAACTTCTCACTTAGGCTCTGTCTGCCTGGCGCCTTTGTCCCCCACCTTGGTCACCCTAGCCCGCCACGGAATCCGTCAAAGTCCCCCATGCACATTATTCCTAACAAGACTTAAAGCATAAAAAAACCAGCTCTTGAATATTTTGTTATAACAAGAGTTGAAATAAGGCAAATCAGAACTCATGGAGGATCTTTCTCTACCTCTCCTGTGCCCCACATCAACATGGATTAAGTTATCTTAACCTTCCCTTTGGTAATGATGTAAAGATAGACATTGTTTCTTTGCGTGCTTTCTCAATTCTCAGTCCATTTCATTTCACCCCTAGAAGGAATACATATGAATACAATGCAACCATCAGGTCCCCAGAGGTGGCAAAGCCTCTTCAGTGTGATTCTCTTGCTCTGTGATTCACACACTTGCTTTTATAGCTGATGCCCATCAAGGAGGTGGCAGGATCCTCTCCATTTGTGGAAATGTATCAAGTGGTGAGCTGAATTTAGAATCTAAAGAGAAAATCTTCCTGTAGGAACTCAACAAGAGGAAATGAAGAAGTAGACACCAAGGTCAGTATCCTATGTACAAAATGAAGTTCTAAGTCCTTCCTAAGTACAATTCCCCTATGGTAATCCCCTAAATTCACCGTTTTCTCTTTGAAAATTGCACTTAGTTTTCATTTCTTAACTCAAGGCAAAGATAGGACTTCTGCTAAGTTAGCCAATAGATTTGATTATTTTTGTAGAAGGTTTTGTCCCAAACCTCTTAACTTTGTAATTACAATCCAATAGGACCTAGGAACCCGGACGTAGCTAGCAGATTATCTGGCCTGGGTCTCCCTGTCCTCCCAAGATTCCTACATTGAGAGCTTAATGTCCAAGGGCTTTAGGAGGAGACACAGTTATGAGGGTAGAGCTCCCACTCTTACTCCCATGTGAGGTTAGATGACTATGCATGAAACTATATGCTATATATTCACTAACCAACGAATTTGCCAGCATCTTAACTTTGAACTCCCTAGCCTTTGGAATGTGAGAAACAAATTTCATGTTTGTAAACAGCACAATTTATAGGATTTTACTCTAGTAGCCTGAATGGACTATGACAGAATAATAAATTAGAGATGACCTGTGTTCATTAATGTTTTAAAAAAGATTTACTTTTATTTTATGTATATAGGTGTTTTGCTTGCTTATATGTCTTGTGCATCACAAGCATGCCAGCAGAGGCCAGAAAGGGGTGTCAGGTCCCCTGGAACTGGAGTTAGCAGAGGGCTGTCAGTTGCTATGTGCTGCTAAGGTTTGAGTCTGGTCCTCTGCAAGACTAGCCAGTGCTCTTACACACTGAGACAACTCAAGCCCTTCCGACTGCTACTTGTAAATATGGAGACAAAGCACACTGGGTCATGCATTGTTTTAAGAAACGAAGCTAATTTTACCTTAATAATGATAAATACATACACTTTTGTGAAAATGCCATTAAGTTTTCCATTTTACCAAGTTAATACTCATCTGCCATGCCATTTTTTTAGTAACTGCTGGCATTAACATGAATGAAGTTACCATGGGAATGTCTATATTTTCTTGGTTTGTCCATTGAGTTCATTGGAAGAGAGATTTATAATTTAAAGGTTTATATTCCTAGTAATTTCTTTTCACCTCAATAAATACTTTATACCCATATCTGATTCCTTAACAAGGTAAGTAGAATCCGTTCAATTAAAGAGATATTCCATATTTAGAAATAATAACTGATGAGTGATTCTAGTATTTTCTAATCTTCAAAGTTGTTTAGGAAAAATGAAAAATTAACACCAAAGGTCTTTGTTCTCTGTTTCCAAGAATTGTGTATATACCCCAAATACATGAGAAGTGTTAGATTTATCAATTCACTTTTTCCATTCTCATTACTGCCACATTTTAGGTATTGTTAACTTTCTAAAAGTAAAATCAACATATTTTGATAGAATATAGGGTTCTGTTGCCTACAGAGCATTAGCAGACATTAGCGGACACGGTGCTCAGCACTGATTGTTGCCCTTCTTTCGGTGATTTGGTGAAGTCCGTTCCTCTTCTTGGCTGCATTCATACTCCAACTGTGTATTTTTTTCATGTCCCGTTTCTTCATCCAGGGACTGATGCCAACCAAACACTGGATGCTCAAGCAGCAGACGAAGTCTCCACATTCCTGAACTCACTCTTGTCTCTCTGTTGTTCAGGGTTAGTTTTCATTGCACAAAATCTCTTAGCAGTTTGAACTCTCAACTGTGGTAGATGGAAATTATTGCTATAGAGAAACTTCTGTTGACACTAGATCTCTAGCTATGTCTATACCTGCTCTGATTCTTCTTCTAAGATGGAAAAATCTGGCCATGGTAAGGAGTGTCCTATTGTTTCTCAGTCTTCCTCCTACTCCGAATAACTCAGGGTTTCAGGACCTTGAATCGCAGACAACTGTTTCTCATTCTCTCTCTACTTACAGTGGTGGATTAGATCTTATGCTAAGTTTGAAAACTTTACAAAGAAAGAGCCATGGTGAAAGCTTAGGGTCCATGTGACCATGCACCAAGCATGTAATCTGTCACGTGCAGCGAGAGTGCTTTCCCCACTGCTGTTCAGGCGACAGTCTCAGGAACTCTGAGATTTGAGGCCAAAGTACAACATACACAGCATAATTCTCTCATCTCAGGGGTTTAGGAAATTAGTTACTGTGAGAATAATAGTCCTATATAATTAGGAAAAGTTAATCTTTAATTACAGATACTGAAACTGGAAGTCAATTAAGGAAAAGACAAAAAGGAATTACTGAATTTAAAAATTAAATTATTTTATTTTTGTTTTTTGAGACGAGTTTCTCTGTGTCTGGCTGTTCTGGAACTCTGTAGACCAGGATGGCCTCGAACTCACAGAGATCCTTTTACCTCTGCAACCCAAGTGCTGGGATTAATGGCATGTGCCACCATGCCCAGCCACAAAAAATTCAAACATTTTAAACATCATCTGTTTTTAAGTTTTCCAATTTTACCTCATTTAATAAACATAAGTAAAATCAATGAATAAGCCACAGAGATGACTAAATATCAACTTTTTTATTTCTAGTACACAAAGCTTGGAGTATATATTGGAGGCTTAATTATTTCATTTGTATTTTATCCACTGTTTTTACTGAAATGACACTGTATGTTTTTATCACATGAGACAATATAGTGAAATATACATATATTAAACAAATGTGTTGCTTAACTATCATTAATTATCATTGTTATATTTTTGGTGATCACGTAACTTTTACATTTTATATTATTGAAGAAACTTTAACCATAGCCAACTTGCTGTACAAACTGTGTCATGAAATTTACTTCTCTTATCTGATAGTTCCACATCCCTGTGAGAATATATTATTCTTTCTGTGTAATGAATTGTACAATTATACCACCATAACTGAAGTTTTAGTGAAAAAATGACAATATACACAAGTGGCTGACTATAGAAAGTTGTGTATGGATATATGGAGAGAAATAATGATTTTAGAATAGAAAACTACTAATTCTGGTACAGATAATTTCTGATTTAGGAGAAATCAGATATAGAGTGGAAAACCTTAACTGTGAAATACCCCAAATTTAATAGTTTTAATAAGATAAAGAAAGAAGTGTTTAAATATTCAAGTGAAAAAATCCTAGAATTTCCAAAAAGTATGAAAAATTATCTCCTACATTCACAATTATGAAGTTACTTACAACTCATGTCTACATACTTTGGAAAGTATGCAGAGAAGTGTGCAGCACATGAAAACAATGGTTATACACATGTTGATTTAAAATGTAAGACAGTGGATGCCAGAAAACAGTGGAATGGCATAACTTAAATACTGAAAACAAAACTACCAACCTAGAATTCCATATTGAAATATCTCTCAGGAATAAAAGAACAGATACTTTGGGAAAAATGGAAAGTAAACAAACCATCACTATCAATTTGCACTTTAATCTGTGTTAAATTAGATGGAGAAATAACAAGACTGAGAAGTAACCCTACCTGGATTTATGCTTTACTATAAAGCTACAATAATCGAGCCAGGGAAACACTGTAACCTCACAGATAAGTCAGTGAAACAGTGAAATTCCTTCTAGATATGCTGCCATCTGACTTATGACAAAGCTACTATGTTTCTGCAGTGACTAGAAATCCATGTATAAACACTGAGTGTGTTGGAACTGGAGAGATTACCCAGTAGTTAGAGCACTAGGTGCTCTTCTAGGTTGGATTCTCAGCACCCACATGGCAGCTCACAAAGGTCTGTAATTCCAGTTGTTAGGGACACTCTTCTGGCCTTGGAGGACACTGCATGCATGTGACACACAGACATACATGTGCTCAAAACCCACATATGCATCATTAAAAAAGAAGCCATGAATGTGGCCTCAGCTTGTACTTCGCTCACACTGATAGGACTACGCGTAAAACTAAAACCGGAAAGCCCACAGAAGGAAATGAGAGTACCATCATGACCTGGAAGCAGGCAAAGGGTGAACCAGACTTCATCCAAAATCCAACTCACGTTCATTAAAACACACTAAGGGGAAGGTGTAGTGGTGCACACCTGTCATTTCAGCACCTGAGAGGCTGAGGCAGGAGGATTATGAGGCCAGTATGGGCTATAAAGTTAAACCCTGGCTCTAAAAGGATACCACTAAGCCCATCAACAGGTAAGTCCCAAACAGTGAGAAAGTGATTGTGAAGCAGCATGAGGCAACAGGCCTTTACCTAGGATGCATACAGAACTCCTACAGATTGGTACTACCTTCTCCCTGTATATAAAATTCCTCACCAGTGAACATTCATTAGATCGGCTAAAGTAAAGCCAGTGATAACAGCAGGCAGAGAGAGATGGGGGGAGGCTAAGAGAGGGAGGGGAAGAGACAGAGGAACTGCAGGACGAGTAAAGGGATGATCAGATGGATATAATAAATATTGGCATAGTAAAATGTCAACTGTATTTATAGACTGGCAAGTGCATGCCAATTAAGATTGTAGGTATAGTGTTCACACTAGAATTCTCTTCCTGTTTAAGAGAAAAGTATTAGTATCTTGTTTATGCCTACTGTTGGAACACTGTCCAAGAAGGGGGATGTGTGTATATATTTCTGAGTGCTTGTAAGAAAACTCCAAGAATCCAAGAGTCTTGGGACCTCGATTTCTTTAAAAACATCAAACTGCTCCTGGATTATGCGTCTGTGCCCCTCCCAAGTGTAGTGGATTGAGTGAGTTCTTCAGGTTACATTACAGCTGGCCATATTGATTGTTTACACGCCTTTATGGAAAACCACGTTGCCATGTGTGGCTTGCCCACCGCATGCAGCCCGCCCTTGTGATTGTATACTTTACTCGTGTGTCTCCTCTTAGCCCTCAGGTACAGAGTGTCTGATGCTTTGAATAGAGTTGCCTGGTGCATGAGACTTCATAAATTCCACCCCATTTATGGGCCACATTCTCCCAGGTTCCACAAAAGTTGTTTCAAGTCTGACTAGATGGCATTGACTGTGGGCACCTATAAACTGGTTGCTTAAGCTATGAGCTGTGAGAAACACACACACACACACACACACACACACACACACACACACTTTCATATCTCTTAAAAAAAAGCCAAAAACCAAAATTATTTCTCTCCACTCTCTATCAAAAAGGAAAGGAAAAAAACAAAACCAAAGCACAAAAACAAACAACAACTACAACGAAATCCACCAACCTTTTTCCTCTTTCTCTGCTTGCTTTTAGTAGAGTCTTGTCCTGTACTCCCATTCCCCAGGGATCCCGATGTGGCTCTCCCAGAATGCTGTGATCCAGAAGAGGGAGCTGTTGGTGTAGGAGGTGGTGTGTTCTCAGGAGAGTCTGGGCAGGACTTCAAACAGGACCCCTGCACAGACACATGGCTTTGAAATGAACTGACCAGACCTCCTAGCAATACATTATCTTTGCTGTCTTTTGCAATTAATACTATTTATAGTTTAAATTTTTCTTATCTGTTCCATCATAATTTTTAATCTAATTATTCAGACAAAAACTTTGTAACCACTGCTTCTAAAAAAATCTGTTAACTTTGTTGGATACCATGGAATTTTTGCCTGTATTTTAAGTTTACAAGTCTTCAAGGGAATCTCTAAAATCTCCCCAAACTGGATGGTTTTAGACATTGTGTGTCAATGGCTACCAGCATTTTCCCCATAGCTCAAAATCTTCATTTAGGATCACTGAGTCCTTCCATACAATGTCCTCTCTCCTTCCTAAATATTGCTCCTTTATTTATTTGGACTATAAGCCCGCTATTTATTTCATCTCAAATATTTGAAGAACTTTATTTCCATGCTCAGTTACTCTAGCTTTTTTAAGACAGTTATCACAGACAAAAATCCCCTTCTTAACTGCCTCTATCCATGTTCACTGGGTAAATGGCATCCTATAGGATGGTGTTAGGAAACAGAGGTTATTGCAACGGCAGATAAATGCCTGGGTGGCCAGGTATGGCCTGGCCATACAGATAGCACAGAGAACGCCTAGGCTATTAACCACTTGTAGCCTTCTGGGAAGAAAACAGGTTGTACATCTCTTCCTTTAAAGAGAGAACATTGAGTGTTCAGCATTCCTGGTTTCCCTAGTGCTTATTTGTGAATTCAAGGACCTCTGTGCTCCCAACAGGGTGGTGCCTAAACGTTAGAGGAAATCTTTCTTGTCATATAACAATACTGGCTTCTAAGAAATTTACAGGTATTAAAGCTCTCTAAGCCATTTTCCTATATAGTCTTATCCATCTTTTCCTCATTCTATTAATCATACTAACCATGCACTCCATAGATCAACTATTCTTTATAATACAGTACAAGAAATGATAGATTTTGCAGCAGACCCTTTGCTGAAATTCTGGTACTGGTCTCAATGGTATTTCCTTGATCAGACTGTCTGGAGACATCACCAAACAAGAAACAGTAAAGCTAATTTTGGTTGAGTATCCTTTGCCCAAAATGCTTAAGATCAGTTTTGTTTCAGATTTTAGATTTTTAAAAAATTATTTCAGACTATCTGTGTAGCTCCAAGGGATCATACTCCCACATGTGTAAACCATATGCTGACAAAAGATCTAGAAAATGTAACTATTAGCATTGCCATTACATCTGCTGGTCTAACATCAGGAGCCAGCTCAGTTCCTGCTGTGGTTAGTATTTAAGGATGGTGCCCCCCTCAGGTAAGATGAACCCAATCAACCTGGAGACTGATTACAATGCATTGGCACCAATGGCAGGATCTTCTAAAGACATCTCTTTAATTTATCATCCTTCAGCTGAGATCCTGATAACTCTTTGATAATTCTCAGTAGTCTGTAACAACATATAAGCCCAGGCTTTAAAACTCTTTTAAATGGAACTTCCTGTTAGTTCTCTTTAATGAGTTTTTAGTTTCATCGAGTTACCCACTTCCATCCCTTGCACAATTGTTCTTCTGCTGCCTCTGAGGCCCACAGGGCTCTTGCTCACCAGTCTCCATACCTTCAACATTTGGATGTCCACACGCATTCGCACACATGAGATTTATTTATTTTAATTCTCTAGGTGGCTCATTTGGAAGTCAGTATAATACACTAGCTTGTTCACGGATTTGCTTGTTTGTTTTACAAATCATTCAATCTCCCTTAACCCAGCTACTATCATTCTCCAGATGCCCCCTCTGGTCCATATTTGGCATAATCCTTCATGTTGGCTGCTGATTTGCAATGCTGATGAGTGAGAATTCTGCCTTAGCATGGAATTATCTCTGTGTTTTATCCGATAATAAAGGACAGGAAGGGAGACAGTCTCTATGAATGTCTACTTTGACTACCAGTCACAGGGGAGGGTGGGTGGATGTCAGGCCAGGAAAAAGCTTGAGGCTGACACTGAAAGTCTGTCAGGATGCTCTCTGAGACTCATGCTCCCACCTCCCAGATTGCCCAGGAAACCCAGTACACATAAGACATTTTTTTCAACTGCTTTTTAGCTGGGAAAAGCGCCTGTGGTTGTTGAGTAGTTGCCCAGGGTGGCTCGGCCACCCTGGAGAATCAAGAAAGAGGGATGGGGTTGTTGGGGGTGTTTTCTGAGACTTTCAAGCAATCACTTGAATTCTGAGGGAAAACTAGGTTGTTATGTTCACAGTAAATTTCCTCAATTAGAAATGTTACAACAAATTTGTCTGATGTTAATGGAAAGCACACTATACACATACTTATAAAGCATCAAAGACATTGCAAAGGGCGCTCTTTGACATCATAATTGGAGTTTGAAACATAAAGAAAATAAAGAGTGTTTAATCAACTAAGTAAGCTTTAGGAAGTTTTAAAGCATGGTGACTGATAATGATGTATGACCTTTTTAATGGGCATAAACATTTCAATCCCTACTTGGATTTCGAGCCAATCTGATTCTCCAAGGACTACGAAAAGAAGTTGAGTTGACTTGTGGCTTGTTACTAAGATGCTATATGGGCAGATTCACAGTACAGGTCCTAAGCATTGTAATGAAGTATACACAACTTGGGGCCCATGGTGAGTAATAGAACAGACTAATACAATGACTTCAGGGGTCTCTGAACAACCCAACATTGTACTAAAAATGTGTACCCAGAAAGGGATTTATAGTTTTTTTTTCAGACATTCATATGTCCTTGGCATAAAGCAAATCACATTTGTATCTTCGAAGTGCTTTGTGGTACCATTCTCATCCATGGATAGTAACAGGAAGTAGATGTGTATTCAGGTTATATGTTCCATACAACTTGATCTAAACTCACTTTGTATGTACACATGCAGATGTGAGCCTAGTCTGCGTCTTTCCTCACTATGGCTTTTGGAGTGAATGATATGATACTGCTGCTGGTGTTATTAAGAAACTCAAATACTGACAAATGTATTCAGCATACTCTGCTTCCTCTATGGCTTTCAGGCACATTGTACTGGTAGAGAGCATTTTAGAGACTGAAAGTGTTGCAAAAGGTTACACACGCAGAGACTTCCCAGTCCCCACAGAAAAGGTCCTAGCAGCAAAACCCCATCAGAAAAGAGTGCCAGTGTTCAAACTGAGGATAAATGTCAATGTAAATTATTGTTGAGATAAGTCAGTAAATGATATGAGTAAATGTTAACAATTGTTACATGATAATAATACCTGCCGGCCCCCAGCTCACTCTGGGTCTTTGATTTCTTGAATGCTAAGCAAGAATTATACCACTGATCTATAGCCCAACCCCAACTCTCATCATTTAAGCTACAAACAGCTCTCTCCATTGTCATGTAATTATACAGACCAGTTACTCACTTAACATGCCTCAAAATGAGACAGGATCTGCTACTATCTGTCACTGAAGGGCTAGGAACGACAAGCATTCTTTAAAAAAGAATTCATTTTTAATTTATTAATTCATTCTTTTTTCCTCAATATATGTTTTTATTTAAATTAGAAACATGAATGCTTCACATGTCAATCCCAGCTCCTTCTCCCATCCCTCCTCCCTTGTCCCTCCACCAGCCTCCCAACCCCCACCCAATCCCCATGGTATTCCTTAAAAAAATGGGGTCCAAGGGTGAAAAGAGTAATCATATCAAGTGGACCCTCAGGTCTTGGCACAGCAAATGTTCCATCACCATTTGTGGGAATGGTCAGCGTATTAAGATTCTCTGAGTAAAGTCTATGCATTCTATTCTCTGAGTAAAGTCTATGCATTCTATACAACGTTTTCCAAATAAGAACTAATATAAACATGCAGCAAACACACAGCTGTGCTCTCCTCTGACTTTGATACTCACCTCAGCAGAGTTGTGATACTGAATGAAGGTTGCAGAAATGGCATGGCTGAAGGGGTCCCCTGCCTTGGATACCATATCCTGTCTTACAAGAAGAGCCAGATCCACTAACTGGAGAACAGGGGAACAAAAACATAGTGACATAGCTGGAAATAATCATTAACACCACAGAAGAGGCAATCAGTACACCCTCAGAAGGTCAATGATACAAATACTGTCTGTCATCCATTTGGACATGAGTACAGCCTCTCACTGACTGTGAGGGGACCAATTCACAATCACAGATGACATGTTTGATTTTCTAAGGGAGTAGCTTTCAAACTTGGTTTTGTTATCAGCAGTGGGACATTTTAAATGGGGATTTCTGGACTGTGAGCCCTGGGATCCAAGACTAGTCTAGGGCTTTCCATTCTCAAAATGGGCTAACATGAGGCTGAGCCTGTGGACTAGAGATCACACCTGGGGAGACCACACCTGGAGTGTCATGATCCCACACCCCTGTGTCTCCAGAGATAAAAGGTGTCACAGACTTTGACGGCCACTTGTACCAAAAGTCAGAATCATGCTATTTAAAACATCTGTTGAGGATGCAAGACTTCAACATTGAGAAAAAGTGGGTATTCCATATATAGTTAGGATAAAGTTGAAGGAACAGACACTTTTATTAACTCATCAAGAATTTCATATATACCAACAAAGTATTTAGCTAAGATTCACTCCCAACTCTTCTAAGTCCTCCCAGATCTCCCCCTATCCTCCTCCTTTTTTGTTTGAATAACCCTAGTCCAGTTTGTGCTGACTCAATACTCCTGGGAGTGGGGCCACCCACTGGGGCATGGCTAACCCACCAGGGGACAACCCTAGAGAAATCTGATTATCCCTCCCTTAGAAGCCATCACTGTCAGAAGCTCCTTGGGTAGGAGTGCTGCTGGATATGAGCTGGAATGGAGACTGGATTAAGTTTGTGCAGGTATAGAAACAGCATTCTTAAAAATAACAAAACAAAACCAAAACTTACAGCCCTGAGAACTAGTGACCCAGAGAAACAGAACTGAGCTAACTTCTAGAATAGGATGTGTTTCAGGAGAAAACTGCGCTGCTGTTCTCATTCCAGCTGGAGTGGTAGCAGGTAGAGTAAAGGGTGGACCATGGACCCAGGAGGAGAGGTCAGCAGGAGCAGCTGGACCGACAGTTCAGACACTTACCTGTGCCACTGTTTCATACGCTAAGTACGCCAGAATTTCCATAGCTATAACATTGGGCTTTATCTCCATACTGCCGCAGTCCAGCCAGTCTCGGAATTTGGAAGCTTTTTTGGCTATTAATTAAAAAGAAAGTGAAAAGTTTTAATTTTCAGTGTGTTGTAGCTTTGTATGACTGTCAGAAATTGGAAACACTTCTGAAAACTGCATGGAAGAAGTAACACCCATAGAAACAATGTTTGTGAAGTTCTCTTAACATCTACTTTTTTTTTCTCTCTAAAGAAATCGAAGTTGGTAACCCTGGTTAAGAAGCAACACAATGGCTGCGTTCCACAAATCCGCATGCCCTTGGATCTTGTATCTCTACGGTGGATAACGTGGCACGTCACACCCTCTAACCTCTAGTCTTTGTGCAGAGGATAACGGGGTACCTTACACCCTCTAGTCCCTCTGTGGTGGACGGCATAACACGCCATACCCTTTCACCACTGCATTTCTCACAGTGCTCTAGAATATGTTACCACTGGCCAGAGTTTTAGCTATTATCAGAGAAAAGCTGCTTTCTCCATGCAACTTTATTCTTACAGAAATAAAATTTTGGAAGAAAAAGCTGTGATGAAGGAATACAGAGAAACTGCATTTTCAATCCTTCACAAAATGTGCCTACTACTAAAATAGGCTCAAAATTATGAATTGATAATTAAACAAACCATTGCTGGCCTGAGATAACCTGTACTTGTGTCTTTGCTGACAATAGATATATTCAAATTTTTAGGCCTGACTCCAAACCAAACTCACTGCAACCTGCCCTTATCAGCAGGAAACTGAGCTGGCCTTGAGTCTCGTCCCTTGTGTTCTGTCTGCTCTTCCATCACTCTTCTGACCATCAGGACAAAGGTAGACTTCTTACATCACTTATGGAAGTAACCACATATATTTCATGTGTGCACAGATTTCTCAGACCACAGTCTAAGTTCTTGTTGATAGAGAATCTGCCTGGATTCCAATCGTATCTTGCAGATATGGAAAGAAGCAGCATGCAGCCTTTCATTAAACACCTCTAATTGGCTGGATGGTGGTGCACACCTTTAATCCCAGCACTCAGGAGGCAGAGGCAGGCAGATCTTCGTGAGTTTGAGGTCAGTCTGGTCTACAGAGTAAGTGTCAGGACAGCCAGGGCTACATACAGAAACCCTGTCTTGAAAAACAAACAAAATAAAAAAGCCCCAAATAAAACTACTCATCACCAAATACTGTAATTGTCCTAGTACTAAGCAGAGGAGAAGTGACATAGGACCTTGCTTACACATTACTAATTAAGCAGTCATTTAGAGGGGAAAAGGCAGATAGTAAAGATTTTTATCAAGTCTGTAAGAGAATTTAAAAAAAAATTCCCTGATTATCCTTTTGACTACTCTGGCCTTGTTGGTCTGTCAAAGTCTCCATGATGTTTGGCTCTAGTCAGAATTTTCATGTATTCCACATACAGGAAAGTTTTCTTTTAAATAAATCACACAAGACATGAAGTCCTGCTATTGAAGCACATGTCCAAAGCTGTCAAATGTGGCAGAATTATGATAATCCTCCTTACAGCTATCTCTCTAAAGTAACCGCCTTTACATACTGACAGGCAGCATTCCATCTAGCTAGCAAGCTGGAACGGCTCCCAAGTGCTTGTCCAGCATCTGTGGAAGACTTCTCAAGTTCAAGTTAAGAGGCAGCAGTTTGGCAAGACAATAGAATGGACCTTATCCCACCTTCCTCTGACAGAGCATTAGCATCGCAGATGTGCACGAGACTGCTCTGAGCAAACGGTCTTAAAGGTAGGAAAGGATCAGTGTTAGTTTTCAGCCACATCTCCGCCCCAAGTGAGAGAGTTAGCAGTGCCTCTGTAAGCATTTAGAATGTGGAAATGTAAGCACCCATTGCACTCTCAGAAAGGAAAACACCTGGTGCTAACAGACTCGCCACATCTATTTCTATAACGAATTCCCAAATGATTACAGATCTATATTTTGTTTGTTTTGCTCATTTGTGTTTTTTTGAGACAGGGTCTCTCTGTGTAGCCCTGGCTGTCCTGGAACTCACTTTGTAGACCAGGATGGCCTCGAACTCACAGATCTGCTTGCCTCTGCCTCCTGAGTGATAGGATTAAAGGCGTGTGCCACCATTGAGCAGCAAAAATATATTTCTTCAGTGAAATTCTAGAGTCCAGTCTTTACTACTTTTTAATATCTGTCTGTGTAGTGTATGGCAATCATGTGTCCATATGTCACAGTGTGCATGTGGATGTCACCCCAGTGTGCACAACACCAGTGATCCCAGGGACTGCCATGAACAGATCATTAAAAGGCACAGGGCAGGTCAAAGTTCCAATGTCCTGGTAATTTATCAGAAGGAGCAGACTGCAAAAATCCCAATGCCATCCATGCCTGCCCAGGGCTGGCTTCTGGATCTGCTGGGATGAGCCCTCTCAGCTTTGGTATTTCTGTCATAGAGAACAGGTTCTTCCACCCAGGGTTCATAATGAGACTCCTGCAGATACTGTATGAGCAAATATTTTTTAATGCCAAAATGCTTTCTCCGACATACAAAAGAAAATTATGCATTATATACTGCTTAATCTGTAATTTTATCAGAAGGAAAAATATTAAGTTTCATCTACTATAGTTTTTTTTGTGCTCACTTCAACAACAGAAAAGAAATAACAAAATCTAATTTTCAAAAGAAGATGTATTACCAGACTAAGGCCATCAGTTTTGTGTGCAGGAGCACTCCATTTGTCCCTGTGAATTCAGTTTAAAATATGATTTAAAAAATAGTCCAACTGCACTAAATGTTACTTTATGAGATGGAGAGTTATGCTTATAAAATACCTGAATGCTGTATTTAAACCCCAAAATTACCATACAAAACCCTCTCATTTGCTGAAATTGCCATGATCTGAAGTGTCATTTACTTAATGCTTCACAGATGTCTGATGCCAAGTTGTTAGTCAGATTGGAAAATATATTTTGTTAGAAAAAAATCTTCCAAAAACATGTTTTCAAGTATCTTACTGATGTTTGCATGGGATAGTGCTATTTGAAATGTGTCATTTATTTGCACTTCATGATCTAAAATGCTGTTCTCATGTTCTTTGTCCATATTATCATGAACACACAATTGCTTTTCATTTAAAGACATCATTGTTTCTATAACTTCTCAGATCAGGGTCATGTGCGACTTTGTCATATTTTTAAATGGACTTTTTATCGCACTGTCTCTTTGACCTTTAGCCCAAGAACCTTAGTCATCACTGGGCTGTTGATACACAATCTAATCCACTGTGAGGGTCTTAAGTGCTTTTCAGCAACTGCCGTTCAGTGATGGGAAGGCACTGACTTTACTGCTGTGACTGCTGTGGCAAGAGCACTGACTCATGATACTGGCTGGCTAGCACTTAGCGCACACTACAGTAGAAGGCTAAGGACAAAATGAAATGCAGTACCGAGTTGTTACTTTGTGGTAGCATGAGAGTGCATAAAGGGGAGTTTAGGGCTTAGAATTAATATTGGGAGCTTTTAAATGTCATGACTATTAATGTTCACAATGGGCCAGTACAGTCAGCAACACTGTACTTGGGTAAACATGACTAAGAAATGGGGAAGTGAAGTAAGAATAGTAAGAAAAAAGTAACTGATCTGACTAAAGTCTGTATGAATAATCCCATAGATTTCTGTGTATGCATATGCTCTCAAATCTCCTATCATGATCGATTGTATACTAGTGGAGCATGATTGATTGTTTAACAGTGGAACATGGTTGATTGTTTAACAGTGGAACATGGTTGATTGTATAACAGTGGAACATGAGTGATTGTATAACAGTGGAACATGATTGATTGTATAACAGTGGAACATGACTGACTGTATAATAGCGGAACATGGTTGATTGTATAATAGTAGAACATGATTGATTGTTTAACAGTGGAACATGATTGATTGTTTAACAGTGGAACATGGTTGATTGTTTAACAGTGGAACATGGTTGATTGTATAACAGTGGAACATGGTTGATTGTATAACAGTGGAACATGATTGATTGTATAACAGTGGAACATGGTTGACTGTATAACAGTGGAACATGGTTGATTGTATAACAGTAGAACATGATTGATTAAAAGTGGAACATGAGTGATTGTATAACAGTGGAACATGATTGATTGTATAACAGTGGAACATGACTGACTGTATAATAGCGGAACATGGTTGATTGTATAATAGTAGAACATGATTGATTGTAAAACAGTGGAATATGGTTGATTGTATAACAGTGGAACATGAGTGATTGTTTAACAGTGGAACATGGTTGACTGTATAACAGTGGAACATGGTTGGTATAACAATGGAACATGGTTGATTGTATAATAGTAGAACATGGTTGGTTGAATACCAGTGGAACATGAGTGATTGTATAATAGTGGAGCATAGCAAAATCTTCAGGCTCCTCCAGTGCAGATGATGTTGCTGTAAGGATTCTAAGGCTGAATCATACACTGAATACATCAGTTTCTAAAGAACACATATGTAAGTGAAGTTCAGTGTGTACTTACAGAAGCTTAGCTGTCGGCTTTCACAGAATTCTGCATATTGAGCTGAATCCATAGTTCGAGTCTGTCTTTCTGCTCTCTAATGGACAAAAAAAGAAAGTCATATAAAACAAGTTTTTAAAGAAAACAGAATCTTATCATACATTTCCATCATAGAAACTTAGGTTTCATGTACCATGTTCCATACCTTAATCTAAGAAAGCAGTGAAGTATGGTGACAGACATATAATATATTGCATAACAATGACAAGCTGTGCTGGGGCTGGAGCCATGCCTCTGCAGTAGAGTATATGGCTCTTCCTGAGGACCCCAGTTTGGTTCTCAGCACCCACATCTGGTGGCTCACAACCACCTGTAACTCCAGTTCCCAAAGATCCGAGGCCCTCTTTTGGTTTTCATTGACACTGTATTCATGTACACACACACACACACACACACACACACACACACACACACACGCATGCACACACGCACGCACGCACACAAGCACACACACACACACTAGCACACACACATACTTGAAAAAAAGACAAATATTACAAAGTAAAAAATATAAGTCATAAATTTATTTCTTTTGGAAATAAAACTTATATAATTTCTGTCCCTTTGTTATTGAAGCTAAAACTCAAGGACTTAATTACTTAGCCAATACATATCTAACGATTTCTATTTAGCCCATCTTTTTAAAACAAAAGCAAACTGTGCAGGGAGGACAAAGCAGACATCAAAACCATTATTAACCATCATTGCCCCTCTACAGTTGTGATGTGGCAATGCTAACACAGGAGTCAATGCCTGAAATCCATATATTCTCCCTCAGAACACAGTGCCAGAGCTAACAAAGGCAATCTTCTCAATTACAAAGAAAATAAGGAAAAAGGTAAACACAACACAGCTCCTTTAATCTGAGTCCATGGATGAGTCACAACTTGGGCTAGCTGCATTCGTGGCTTTTTTGATTCAGTTCAGCAGATGTTTGCTCCTACATTGTTTCACAGAGGTAGCATAATTATACTTCACCCATGATTTGGTGGCAAAGGCTATGACCACTTCCGCTTCCTTGGTAAGGGGAGCAGGTTGAGATGAGGCAGCCTGGTGCTTCTTGGAAGGGACATCTAACCAGCAAAGGGAAAAAATTCCCTGAGATTTCATTTTTTCTGCAGTGGAAGGACTTTCTGAAATGTTCTTTCTCATAGCTGTGGGCGCACTCAAGAACAATGTTTCTAATGGCCACATTCCTTTTTCTTTCATGTCTGATGTGAGAGGAATAGTCAGTACACAGATTTGTCACTTGATGACAGAAGAGCTGGAGTAAGGAAAAAGTGACCACCTACTGGGTGGGGTTTCTTGAAAGCATTGTTCTTCTTGATTCCTCCCCCCCCCTCCTCCTTCTCTTCATCTTCTGAGGCGTTGTTGAAGATGCAGACACGTGGAGGGCTTCCCATTATTACAGCTGGCTTCTTTACTCCCTAACAGCCTCACTATCAATTGCCTCTTCCTTCTCTGCTGCTCCTCTCAGTTTTTCCCAATTCCTTTAGCATATGAGCAGCACCCTTTGATCTGAGCAGCATCAGAGCAAACCAGTGTCTAGCACACAGCACACACTCAACGCTGGGTGCTGACTGCAGGGAAGATTTATTGGCACAGTGTGTTAGAGCTACTGGCAGCTCAAAGTGAATCTTGTTCAAGTCTCTTCATTTTGAAGATAAGGGCACTGTGGTGAGGAGAGATGCCATTTGCCAGAAGCTGTGTATTTGTATCATCAAAGCCTTTTCTAGACTATACTACAGTTTTGTATTCCAATGTCCTTGTGGGACAGTCTAAGACCAGGAATTTAAAGAATTATGGCCACATCATATGAATCCCAGACAGGGTCAGCAGATTTTAAAAGGATGTTCTACTTAAAAGAATCAAGAGACCGTCCATACATTAAATAATGACAGCTCTTGTTTTCTGTGGTGCCCTAATCCCACTTCCTCTTGCTTCCCCCTTCAGATGCCTGTGCATTCTACAGGGTGCACTGATGAACCTTTTCTAATCTGGGTACCAAAGAACTGTCTGGGAAAAATACCAGCTGAATACAGCAGCATGATGTACAGTGTCTCCGCTACACAGAGAACACAGCCTCTGGGATCAAAAGTGAAGTCGATGGAGACACAGCTACAAGTGAACTTTGACCCATGTATTTCCCAGAAAGCGTGCACTGACTGTGAGAACCATGGCAGGAAGTGTGATCCCGTCACGTTCTGGCTCCTTCCAAACAAAGTGTCAGGCTGCAAGCCTGTATCTCTAAAGGGAGTTCTCAAGTTTAACTGGTCATACAATATGGTCACAAAACTGGATTGTCCAGGTATGCTCACACACGCCGGTGATCCAGCCTGTGAGACTGAGGCGGGAGGATCACAAATTTGAGTACAGTAAGATCCTCTCTCAAAAAACCAAGCAAGGAAGCAACTACCCACTCCTCACCAACGCCTCATGTTTTTAGAGTATTAGAAGCACAAATCCCCAAAGTGAGAACTGATGAACAATGGTTGTTGGCTCATGGGTGGTCTCAGTGACACAATGCTCTTTTTAGCTCAGACAGTCACATGAGCATCAGGTCATCTGCAGATGGCTCAGGCTCTGCATTCTCAAGGCCAGTTCCACATATGACCTGATTTCCTTGGGTACCAAACAACATTGATCTCCAACATTCAGAAAAATACACAACACACTCACTTTTCCTCCAATTAAAGCTTTTGGTATTATACAACAAAACAAGAGCCTATTTGGAAAGCACTGCCTTTGAAGTTATTATTGCTAGAGTCTTCTAAGCACCACCCACACCCACACCCACACCCACTTAAGGTAAGAGGGAATGGTTATGTCACCAGCTACCGATCTCAGTACCAAGAAGTTTCAGTCTGTCCTAGTCATTGTCTAAAGAACTGTGAAGGCAGATTTCCATGCTAGGTCATTTTCTGGAGCCTACCTAAATGAAGACAGGAAAGCCAGTACCTGCATCCAAGCGGAACTATGTAGAACGGCTTTTTCAGTATCTTGAACATAACAGACTCAGTACTTCAGTGACAGGTTGCCTGCGTCTCTGAAAAGCGCCCTGGGCAGCAACAGTCACTGCTCGCCACAGCCCACAGCATCTGGGTGACGTATGCGGCACACAGCTCTATTCACGTTCCTCACATGCTTTCACTGAAGCATGCTCAAAGGTTACAGAAGCTATGTGCTGGCATATCTCCTGGAAGCTTCTCAACACACATGACGTCTATTTTTCTTGAGTAACTCAGAATAACACAACATAGCTTCAAGACCCAAATAAAAGTTTATCTGTTGTTGTCTCTATCCCAAAAAGACACATTTAAAAAAACCCTTACTTTGATTACCCTTAGAATTTTCACAACTAAAAGTGAAGTCCCTTCTGAATGGAAAAGCATTGTGTCCCTGGCTCTCTCCTTTACACTGGATCAGAACCAGATGACAGACCAGAAACCTCAACTGGAGTGGCTGGTGGTAGCACTCAACACGGCAACACTTGGTACCATCTGTGTTAATCTGTGTGTTCGTTGTCTGGGTGCAGAAGCACACAGCAGTAAAGCACACCCAGCACTGAAAAACCCCTCTTACATCAGTTTGTAAGGTGACGTCTGACAGGTTGGCATGTCTATCTCAGGAGCTGCCGGGAAACCTCAGAACTCTAGTACATGTGCGCACTCTCCTGCATGTATGTACACACACAGAAGCACACATGCATTCTGCCTGCTGAGTCAGCTTGTAATTGAGTAGGTTACCTACCATACCAGGAGAGACTCCCTTAAAGCACATGGAAGAGTTCCTTTTCCACTTCACAGAACACTCATTTTTCTGCAGTAGATGGCTGATTCCATCCACAGGTCTTTCCTCTCACAGCCTATCCTGGTAACCACTACCTTACAGAAAAGCAAAGAAAAGGAAGAGGCCCTGGTATAGGGAAGGCCCGGGCATATGGAAAGACCCTCCTTTGTCCACAGTTCACAGCTCTGCCTCCTAAGCTAAACAAGTGCCCAGCTGACACTGCATCAAATTCAAGTACAAATGGCTACCCACCACTTCTCCCAATACAAACCTGATCTGGCTCTGGGTCATTCTACCTAGGCACATAACTGTTCTTGAATTACAACCAGAAAAAAATGTTTTCTTTTTGTTGTTTGTTTGTTTATATTGTTTTGAATCAGTGTCTCACATGTAGACAATACTAGCCTGGAACACTTGTCTGTGTCTCTAGAGTGTAGAGATTATAGTTATGTATTGTCATGTCCAGTAATTAAAGTAATTAAATACAAATGATATAAATAAATAAATGAATAAAAATAATATTTTAGAAGGAAATCTTTGCTTTTGAGCTTATGTTACTTGATTTACAGAAGTCATACACACATACACACACATTATGGTAACAGTGAAATAATTCATATTCTTGAAAGATACAGTCCTGAAACCAAAAGTTGACTGGTTTGACCCATAGATTTCATAGAACAATAAGAATACAGTGTACTTTCCATTTCATGGCCTGTTTAAAACAAAGACAACAGGTTCTAGTAGTATTAATTTTTCATCCAGAATGGCTTGTATAATACAGTAATTTTGGTGTGAAAGGCATTAAGAATGAGTTCGAGCATCAAATGAAGCTTCCTGATGAACAGCTATGGATTCCAGGGCACCCAGAGATCTAGAAGGAATTCTATATGAGAGTAAATGAGTGATTGAATACAAAGCACCACTGACTGAGAAAACACTCAAGAGTATTTGTCACATTAACTTGCAGCCACATTGTATCAGTTAGATTTTCTTTTTCAACTTTGGTTGAAACCTATGGATCAAAAAATATTAATTCACCCTTGGCCCCCCCTCTGCCCTGTGCCCTCTGCTTGAGGTGAGTGTGGGCTCTGCTTGGGCCCCAACTCCCACCATCATCCCCTCCTTGGATCTTCCTGGGCCCGCTCCCCTTGTAGAGTAGACTGACCCAGGCAGGAAGGACCACCCCTGAGTCTGGCCACAACTCATTCTTGGCACCCCTCCACCCTCTGCTTGAGTGAGGAGAAT